GGCGTTGACCTAGGGTTACGCGTTGACCGGCGTTGACCCTAGGGTTTCGAATGTTATTGGATGCTCAATTCACGAGACCAACTAATGAAGCTGATGCGTCAGTGACTCTTGTATTTATAGGATTTTTGGCAAACCCTCAGCCATCAACGGATTTGATTAGCCTTTACCGACTACCGTTTGAATCGGGCTAGCATGCGGATTTTCTAAATCCGTTCCGCATGTAACGTTGTGCTAAGAGAGTGAATTCTCTGAGACTTTGTGCTATGATGTTGAATACATAGGCTTCGCCATTGTTACGGGAATAGGCTACCCGGCGACACGTGTTAGGGCGCAGACTTATCCCTGTTTAGGCTTCGGGATAAAATACCCCAGAATCGAACTCTGGTGTCTTTTTCCACGGAGAAAGACTAAACCGGCGACGCGTGTTAGGCGTCGGCATATCCTTTCTTAGGATTCAGGATGAAATTCCTCATGCGTGTAAGGCATGGATTTTGGTGTTATTAATAACAACCTGCCACAATGTTGAATATGTGAACGGGTGTTCTTTTTGACGGTTAAGAACTAACCGGCAGCGCGGGTTAAGCGCTGACTTATCCCTACTTAGGCTTCGGGATAAAATTCCCCAGAATCGAACTCTGGTGTCTTTTTCTACGGAAAAAGACTAAACCGGCAGCGCGTGTTAGGCGCAGACTTATCCCTGCTTAGGATTCGGGATAAACTTCCTAGACTAAAATTCTAGTGTCTTTTTCAATCGGTGAAAGACTAAACCGGCAACGCGTGTTAGGCGCAGACTTATCCTTGCTTAGGTTTCAGGATAGAATACTCCAGAATCGAACTATGGTGTCTTTTTCTACGGAAAAAGACTAAACCGGCAGCGCGTGTTAGGCGCAGACTTATCCCTACTTAGGATTCGGGATAAAATTCCTATACCTGTGAGAGGTGGGATCTCCACCCCAGAATCCGGAAAGGTGAAACTAAGAGTGGGATCTCCACTCCGAGAATCGAAAAGATTCAGATAACCCTAACTGTCGGAAGGTTTGATTACCGAGGTAAAGACGAATTTCTCATTTATCGAGAGTGAATTGTGGTTTTGATCCTAACTGTAGGAAGGTTTGGCCAAATGGGAGTTTGGGGTGACCCTAACTGTAGGAAGGTTTGATCACTTGATTTGAAAGTGGACCTCTCGTTCATTGGGGGAATCGAGAGAGGATTTTGACTGTGGTCCTAACTGTAAGAATGTTTGACCAAATAGGAGTTTGAGGTGACCCTAACTGTAGGAAGGTTTGATCACTTGATTTGAAAGTGGACCTCTCGT